GTACAGTAGTAACTACGCCGGGTGCAATCTACTTGACGTAAAGTATTATAAATACAATGTTCTTTCAAGGTAAAGTACGAAGTACTTTTTAACAGATCTTTCATGATGGCCTTTTATTTCCCTATACCGTAATTTTTTAACTGGTATGCATTGCTCTAGGGGTAGTGGGTATTGCCCCAGGGGTAATCGGGGATGCATCACTCATTTTCGCAAATGTTGGCCAATACTGGATAAAGTCATGTGGCTTCCGAGTTTACAAAACATCATTTTGTGATAAAAATTTAACAAGACAAAATTCGGGGGAATGTAGTTAGAAGTCGGGAGTTGTACTTTCCTCGGAAAGTACCAGAATAAAATATTTTCAGTAAAGTACAAGTACATACTCAGATAATGTACTTCAAGTAAAGCAGACATGTACGATCAAAAAAGTAATTAAGTTAAGTTACTGAGTATTGGCGTCAAAAGTAATCTGAGTAGAGTAGAAATTACTCAAATAGAAAGTAATTGAGTGAATTACTAATTACCGCAAAAAAGTAGCGAATTTCTTTTGAAGTTACTTTGAAGTTACTTTGAAGTTACTTTTATATGATTTTTATGGTAAAAAGAAAGTAGAGAGGTTTTGATCCGTTAGGAAAATTGTGCTTGCCAAATAGGAATGGGCTCGTTTTTTTTGTTAACAGCAATGCTTTAATAACTGGTTCTGCTTCTGCTTGCCTAATTGTTTTTAACTTTCTTGTTTGTTTGGTCAGTGATGTACTGCGAATGTGTCATTTGTACTTTGAGGTTTAGCACTGTCTGAGCTTGATTTTTTAGACAATGTTTGCTTGTTTACAGTGTTGCATAAAGTACATCTGAAAAGGACTTGAAGTAAAGTACAAAGTAAATGAGAGGTTATGAACTTCAAGTAAAGTACTAAGTACACCGGGTGCAATGTACTTGAAGTAACGTATATAAATACAATATATTTCACGGTAAAGTACAAGCACTTTTAACACAATCTTTCACGATGCTCTTTCATTCCCTATACTGTTTTTTTTTTAACTGGTATGCATTGCTCCAGGGGTAATCGGAGGCGCATTAGTTTTTACAGAAATGGAAGCAAATATAGTATAAGGTCAAATCGCCGCAGAGTAGTTGTTTTACTCTCGCTGGCGAGCTATTTCACACAATCAACTTATAAGTAGGGTGTGTATTTTCCGGTTTTAACCGAAAAACACCGATAAACATCCGTTGGTGACAAAAATACAAAATCGGTTAAAACCGAAAAACACCGGTGGTTGGATATTTTTGCCCCGGTTAAAACCGAAAAACACCGGTCGTTCACGTTTCCGACCTAGCGAAACCCTTTCCCCGTAGAGGTTCGTCAAACGTGTTATCTCGTGGATCCTGCATTCTTCCAGTGTCTATGCATGGCTTGCACGTGGCGTCAGTCCGCCCTCCTTTCTGGGGGTGAAAAGCGTCTAGTTAACGCAGTGAAAGCTAAGCTCTACACGTCTTTCCCCCATTGTGTCGCCCATGGCTTTCTTTTGTGGAAAAATTAACGCAGCGGAGGGTACACTCTCACGTGCCTTTTCCCCATTGTGTCTGGCCAAGTAATGTCGGTGCAAGCCATGTATTCAGAGGTTGCTGTGGTTCCTGGAAGACACTACCAACATCCGTGTCGTACAGGGCTACTGAGCTTTGTGTTTGAGAAGGCGCGTCCGTCCCGCGTCTGCGGGTTTTCTCAACCTGAGACTTGCTTCCCTTCGTCGTCTCGCGGAGTAGAAGGCCACCAGGATGGGAAGTAAGCGGAAAGCTCAGGATGACCGTACGCTACAGATTTCATGGATGAATCATTGTTCTGGTTCCGCGTGCCAATTGTTAATCCGTGCATAAACGTGGAGCTGCCAGAGGGATTTGTGCCTTATGAAAGTATCTATCGGCTGGTCCTCCGAAACGAGAGCTAGCTGAGTGACCTAGAATCAGAGTTTCTTTGTTACCGCCAGTATGCTGTGACTAGCACCGTTGATCCAATGTTATTTTGGAAACTTCATTTACCTGACTGACCACTACTGTCCCAAGCCTAGCTGGACATTTTGGGATTTCCTGTGTCCAGCGAAAATCTGAAGCGTGTGTTTTCAAAATTGCGGGTTGTGAACCGCAAGGAACGTGCTGCCATGACGGATGTAAGCCTCTCGAGGTATGCTTGCATCCACTATAATAACCAAGTGTAAGAAATATATGCTTCCTCGAGAAGTGTATGAAATATGTGAATAAAATTAGAACTCTCTGTCTGTGATCAATCACATTTTTTTCCACCGATAATCACCGATTTTAGCCTCGTCGTGAGACGTTCCACCGAAATACACCGGTGTTTCGAAAAGAAATAAACACCGAAAAACATCTGCCGATTTTTCTCACAAATAAACACCGGAAAGTACACACCCTACTTATAAGGCACTTATTCGTTTCGGTCTTACAGCCGCCATTACTTCACTCATAGAAATGACCAGATAGCGTCTCGAAAGAGCGCGTTTTCACACGACAATACCGCCATTTTTTTTTTTTTTCAAATTTGAGGAATGTACATTGAGGTTGGGAGCTTTACATTCCTCGAAAAATCGAAGTACATGCTTCGAAAAATTACTTCAAGTGAAGTACAATTTTTCTAAACAGTAGTACTTTAAGTATACATGTACATAAAGTACTTCCCAACACTGCTTGTGTATTATTTTTTTTAATAAAAATGGTGGGGGAATTACTACAGGTTTGTCGAACGATCTATGAATCTTTGAGCATCCCCAAAGTCTGAGTTTCGGCAGGAAAGACAACGCAAAAAGGCAATCTTTGCGTTGCCCTTGAGCACGCGATTCTTCGAGTACAGCACGAACTACGGGAGCGCAAGATGAGTTTCAGAGCAGGTGCTGCATTTCGTTGCCTCCTTTGAGTGAGGAAGCAGTGTGTGCACCTCCTATAGACCTTTCCAGCGGCAGTCTCGAACGAAGCGATTTACAGCGGGCGTCCCTGGTTTTGAGAGGGTACGTCAGTGTTGCCCGACTGCGCTGAGCTGTGGGTTTTGTAGTCAGGGGGCTGTGGCAGCCTGCGTAGGCGCACTTCCGGGCGCTGGTGGAGGTTAAATTGCCGTGTTATATTTTTTATTTTGTGTTCTATGGCGAATAGAATTTCTCGGGGTTTTTAAGAATGCATTGTACTATTTTTTGGGAACAAAAATTAAGAAATAAAAGCTGTTTTGGTGAGTCCGTGCGCGACAGAACAAATGCAACCGGAAAATTTGTTTCATTTTATGTTGATTTTTTTACGGCACCGTACACGCAGCTGTGTCAATTTACAAAGGTCTTAGCCGTCAAAAATATTTAACCACACAGGATATCGGAACTGCATGGATATTCCCCGCCCACACCATGAAATTCGACGAGTATCATCAATCGAACAACATATAGATATATTGTATGTTCCCCACGGTGCCGCGTTATCCGAAAAGGACTTGAGAAAGGTCTCGAATAACACAGCATGTCCAATATACAGTGCCGACGATCGCCAATAGTTACTTCACGACAACCGGACGGAATCCGGTGTGTTTTGGGGAACATCTAGAAGAGAGCTGCGCTTTCGCACAGCTTCAAAGCAAATGAACGAACGTGTCTATTTCGTCGCCACAACCCGGACCCGACCCTATCAACTATTTTTCGCGAAGACCCGGAACATAGCCGGGAAGGCTTTTTGGAGATTATCTCAACATGAATAATCCTCCAAGAACGTCAAACTGCCTGCGTCGCGGGCAGCTTGACGTTCGCTCTCTTCGTTCGTTTCCTGCGAAGGCCGAGTCCCTGGACTATTCCCTGGTTCTCACAGTGGAAGATAACACACAAAGGGTAAATATCCGAAACAGGCAAATAAAGTAAAAACTTCCAAGAAAAGCCGGCGAACTCCGAATGCACAATGCAGGTGGGGAGTCACGCTGGCCGGGCTTCCACAGCTCAGGCGGGTGCCAGAAATTTCTGGCTGATAGGGGTCGCTCGATTCGCAAAATGGCGGCGGCCAGAGCGCTCTTTTTGGAAAGGTCTATAGTGGGCGAGAGTTTCTACGGTGGGGAGAAGCGGGGACTGCTGTATCGCCGTACGGCTGCGTCACCGCAACCAGGAGCGGCGCGTTCCAGCGCATGCCCGTGCCGGACATACGTCACCGGCGCGGGAGGTAAAAAGAGAGCGCTTGCCAATAAACTACGTTTTTCATGTCCCGGCCACCGGCGAGTCTGGTCGACGTTTCAGTGGCGACGAGGGTAAACCGATATGGCGGCACGCCCGCCGCAGTTCGACGAGACGGCAGGAACCTGGGGCACATACCGGGTCCGGTTGGAGGCGTACTTCGAGGGTCACGGTATCACGGACGCGGCGAAACGTCGCGCGTTGCTGGTGTCTTCCCTAAGTGACAGCGTGGTCCGAATTCTGCAAGGCCGCTGTCAATCGGCGTCCATCAACAGCCTGTCCTACGCAGACGTGGTTGGCTACCTAGAAGAACACTACGACCCGCAAGCCAACGAGATTGCAGCTAGCTACTCGTTCTTCGTGCGGAAACAGGAAGATGGGGAGAAAGTACAAGACTTTGTGGCAGAGTTGCGGCGGCTCGCGAAGCATTGCAAGTTCGGCGACACCCTGGACCGGATGCTGCGAGACCGAATCGTCTGCGGCATACGGGATGACGAAGCGCGACGGGTTTTGCTGACGCGTAAAAAGTTGAGCCGGGAAGAGGCGGAGGAATTCGTAATCGCGTCTGAGATGGCCGATAACAACGTCAGGGCAATGGGAACGGCCCCCCAGGACTCAGCCGGCGGTACGCATTTCGTCCAAGGTCGGCGGGGTAACCGGAGGCCCCCAAGACAAGAAACCAGCGGTGCGAATCGACGCGCCTGGTGCTGGAGGTGCGACGCGAACCACTCCGAGGACGACTGCCGGCACCGCAAGACCATATGCCGCAGGTGCGGCACCAAGGGACATCTGGCGAGGGTGTGCAAGTACAGTCGGCCCAGCCAGCCAGGTGCGTACGCGCTGGCGGACATCAACACCGAGGAAGAGAGTGGCGAGGAAATGCTTCACGCCCTGGTGGCTCACAGTACAGCCAACAAAGACACGACGCCGCCGATAGAGCGGGATTTGCTATGGGAAGGCAGGAAGCTGCGAATGATTCTGGATACGGGCTCCCCAGTCAGCTTAATTCCCGAGAGCGCTTTCAAAAGACACCGTAAACGGTGGCCGGCCCTGGAAACGACCCCCCTACGCTTGTTGTGCTTCCTGGGGCCGCTGCCCGTTGTCGGCAAGATCACCATGAGTGTACAGTACGGACAGACGCAGGTGCGCAGCTCGTTGATTGTGGTGAACTGCCCAGGGCCGCTGCTTTGCGGTAGGAATACGCTGCGGGCGTTTTACGACGCAGGGGCACCGCTTCTAGAAACTGGGGCACCGCTTGGGGTGAACATGGTGCAGGCCGGCGCAGAGGGGCAGGACCTACTGGAAGAATTTGCAGACGTTTTCGAAGAGAAGCTGGGGTGCTGCCAGGGCCCACCAGTAAAGCTGTACAGGAAGGAAGATGCGCGACCCCGTTTTTGTAAGGCGAGGCCGGTGCCCTACGCGCTTCGCGACAAGGTGTCGGCGGAAATCAACCGCCTGGAGAAGGACGGCGTGCTCTCGCCGGTCAACGTGTCGGAATGGGCTACACCTGTTGTTCCGGTGGCAAAGAAAAACGGCGAGATACGACTGTGCGGGGATTTTAAGTTGACGGTAAATCCAGCTACACACCTGGAGCGATACCCCTTGCCTAAAATTGACGACATTTTTGCGGCGGTATATGGGGGGGAACTCTTCACCACGCTGGACTTACGCAACGCGTACAATCAGCTTCCTCTTGACGAAGAGGCTCGAAAGATGACTGTGCTGAACACGCACCAAGGCTTGTACTGTTACAATCGTCTGGCCTTCGGCATTGCGTCCGCACCGGCTCTGTTTCAACGGCGCATCGAGTCCCTCCTGCAAGGGCTCCCAAGGGTGCAAGTCTACTTGGATGACATCGTCATCGCAGAAAAGAAACACGACACGTCGACACTCCGGCAGGTGCTGCAGCGGCTACGGGAAAACGGCCTGAAGTTAAACCGAGCCAAGTGCCGTATCCGGGAGAAGCAAGTGTCCTTTTTGGGCCACAGAATCGATGCCCAAGGTCTTCATCCGGAGCGGACCAACCTCGAGGCAGTGACCGAAGCTCCAAGACCGACCTCGGTAAGCCAGCTCAAGTCTTTTCTTGGGTTTGTCACCTATTACGCCAAATTTTTGCCCAACTTGTCAACCACCTTGGCCCCTTTGTATAGATTATTGGCAAAAGGAGCGCAATGGCAGTGGGACGGGGATCAGGAAAGGGCTTTCCGGAAGACTAAGCAGGCTATGGCCGAAGCTAAGTTCCTGGTTCACTACAACCCCCGGCAACAGTTACGGCTAGAATGCGACGCGTCGCCAGACGGCTTGGGTGCAGTGTTGTCACATCGCATGCATGGGAAAGACTACCCCATAGCGTTCCGGTCGAGAACGCTGACGAAGGCAGAGCGTAATTATTCACAGCTCGAGAAGGAGGCGTTGGCGCTGGTTTTTGGAGTGACCAAGTTTCGAGATTATCTGTTTGGCAACCGCTTTACGCTCGTCACAGACCACAAGCCGCTGACAGCGCTGTTCCACCCTGAAAGAGCAATTCCACAAATGGCGGCGGCTAGAGTACAGCGTTGGGCGTTACTACTCGCAGCCTACCAGTACGATCTCGAGTACCGAAAAGGAAACCACAACGGGAATGCAGACGCTCTTAGTCGTCTCCCGTTGCCGGCGCAGGAGGAGGGCAGCAGTGAAGTGCTCACTGAATATGTGCTGTACACGCGGGGGTGGGACGACCAACCTATGTCCGCCCAGCAGATGGCCACCCTGACTACGCGGGACAGCCTGCTTCGCCAAGTAAAAGCCTGGATTTACGCCGGATGGCCGTCGCACCTGCGCCCGGAGCAGCACCAGTTCCTACCGTACTTCAGCCGCAGGTATGAACTCACAGTGAGCCACGACCTGGTTTACTGGGGGCATCGCGTAGTTCTACCGGAAGCTGCGCGAGCGTTCATGCTGACGGAACTGCATGATACCCACCCGGGAATGACGGCAATGAAGCGTCTGGCTCGCTCCCTCTATTGGTATCCTGGTCTAGACAAAGATATCGAAAAGCTGGTAAATAACTGCTCGACATGTATACAGTGTTGGACGATGCCCGCGGCACAGGTTCCTTCCAAGTGGCCGGAGACCCACCAACGGTGGTCCCGTTTGCACTTGGATTTCGCGGGGCCACTGGAAGGGTACATGGTTCTGGTACTAGTGGACTCGGAAACAAAGTGGATTGAAGCCATACCACTCAAAACAGCTTCGGCCGAGACTACAATTGGAGTGCTCCGAGAACTGTTTGCGCGTTTCGGAGTGCCACGAACAGTGGTTTCCATAATGGGCCGCAATTTTCAAGTGCAGCGATGGCACGATTTTTACAAGGGAACCATATACGTCATTTCACCACTGCGCCCTACCACCCTCAGTCGAACGGGTTAGCCGAACGGGCAGTACGCACGATCAAGGAGTGGCTAAAGAAGAACAGGGAAGGCTCGTTGCAAGATCGTATTTCCAGGTTCTTGTGTCGTTACAGATCTACCCCTATGAAAGAGGGCAAGTCGCCAGCCGAGTTGTTGTTAGGCTTCAGGCCCAGGACAAGGCTAACCGGCTTCTTCTCAAGGGGCGAGGAAGCGCAGCACAGCGTGGTCGAGCCGCAAGCCCCGGCCACGACACCACCGCCATTTTCGCCAGGAATGCCGGTCTGGTCACGCCAGTTCCAGCCGAGGCGGAGATGGCTACCGGGGACTGTGGTCTCCAGTGAGGGTCGGTGCATGGTCACGCTACGCACACCGGACGGCCAACAGAGACGGCACCGGGACCAGCTGCGACCTCGAGACGCTTCAGGGTCCCCGGAAGGCGCTGACAAGGCACGTCGAGTCGCCGGCCGGTCGGAGGTGGGAGCAAGGCCGCCCAGCACCGACGAAAGAGAGGTCGCCACCAACGGCGATCCCGAGGTGACGCCCACAGCAGACTCGGTTCCTCTCAGGCGCTCTACGCACCTGCGGAAGCCGCCGGACCGTTTGAACTTATAGGGGGGAGGGGATGCTGTATCGCCGTACGGCTGCGTCACCGCAACCAGGAGCGGCGCGTTCCAGCGCATGCCCGTGCCGGACATACGTCACCGGCGCGGGAGGTAAAAAGAGAGCGCTTGCCAATAAACTACGTTTTTCATGTCCCGGCCACCGGCGAGTCTGGTCGACGTTTCAGGGACCAGCCCTTTCTTAAAAAAGGTCGAGTCTCCTTGAGCTTGGGGATACAAAGGAACGCCAGTCTTCGGCGCAAGTCCCGCAGTTACTCGGCCTCTCGCGTCGTGTCTGTTCGCTCCCCGCGCCTCGTAGCAGTGTTGTTGCAGGGGGGGGGGGGGGGGGGGGGGGGGGGGGGGGGTTCTTGTGAAACTTTTGGGAGAGTTTCGGACTCCACAAACAATTTTCTTCCCCCCCCCCCTTTTCCTACGCCACATGCTTCCCCCTCTTTCCAAATATCAGCTGATCTTCGAACATCTAATCTCCTTTGTGCAGGAATGTTTGTTGATAAGCAAAACAACCATTAAAATTCGAAAGTGATTTGTAACTTGAGTAGAAGTTACTCAAAAAAGTAATTAAAGTAAACTACTAATTACCGAAATAAAAATGTAATTGAAAGTTACTAAACTACTCAGAAGAGTAGTTAAACTACAGTAACTTGAGTAGAGTAGTTGAACTACGTACAAGTCTGAAGTAAAGTATACGAGTATTCTAAACGGGGGACACCACCTCAAAATTGAAAATTTTGAGAAAAAAACGACTTTTCCTATTTTTATGTATTCTGGTTCCACAACTAATAGTGTTATACTCCTGCAAATCTTTATTGCAATATCTGAAGTATTTACGGAGAAATAAAACATTCTTGATAAGCCGGCGATGCAAAATATATGTTTTTGAAATGTGAAACTTCTATGTTTCCTACTTTCAAACTGCTGTAGCTTTGCACCGGTATGCCATAGAATGATCATACCCTCGTTGGAAAGAGCACTTCTTCGCAGTTTCAATACATTAATTATCTTTGTTTGAGAGTCGGAGCGCCTCTGAACGGCAAAAAAACCCGCGGCTCCAAACCTGTTTCTACGCAATTTCCGCCTCCTCCCCTGTGCCAGACAGTCTCCGAATAAATTGGAAGCAGGCGATGGCGAGCACGATCGCTTTTATTTGACGCCGGTATTGAAGAAGTCTTGACAAGGTCGTTGAAGAAAAAGCGAGTGATTGTACACATCAGCGCTGCTGGTCGAAACGATGCCAGCGATGCAACGATCGAGCCCTTCGCTTGGCGGTGCAAAGGCAGCTGCTGTTATAAAAGCCGACAAAAAACGTCGTCAGCACACGCAAAATATAAAGCTCGGCGAATCCACGCCGCCGGTTGCGATACTTTTATACGGCCATAGGTTTGTTCTGCCCTTCGTGACGAACTGCCTATAAAATGTATTCGTATACACACAGGAAGTTCGGCCGCGCTCGGCGATCAAGGTTTTGTCGTCCGAAGCGAGCCTCAGCTAACGTGCAGATACGCAAACAAAACATCAATCGGCATAATGCTCTGCGTGAGTGTCCAACCGGCTTCCAAAGTCGCGTACATACCCTGCCTTGCTCTGTTGAGCGCGGACAGGACTATTGTCAATATTACCGAGTTTCCGTGCAACGGCGATCAAGACACGGCGTCAAATGAACGTTCAACGTTGTTTATTAGCATATTCAAACCAAACAAAATACGGTCCAATGCATTTTCCGAAAGAGCCTTACCTCTAAAAGAAATTCGAACGCGTTATTCGTCTTACCTTGAGCACTTTTCATTAACAAAAGCGAGCAAACCTCACACCCGCGACAGAACCGAAGCAGCTTATCCCGTCATTTTGTTTGTTTTTTTCTCTTTTAGCGCCGGAAATCGTCACCAGTCAGGAAATGACGTCATTTTAACTCCTTTGACTCTACGTGCACCGTCTCCGGACTCGGTGCTTCGGAGCTTGACTCCGAAGCCCCGGAGTTACGTGCACCGGAAGTAACTTTTGGCCGTCCAGTGGAGGGAGTCAGTGACTCCTTGACTCCGGGGCCGCTACTGAACGCGCCCAGTGGCGTACCAAATTGTTCTTGAGTGGGGGGGTAAACCAGACCCCCCCCCCCCCTCCCCACCCCCCTCAGGGCCGGGGTGCGGTGCCCTTGGAATCCCTTGGGCGCCGCCGGACAGTGTTTGCCCTGCCCAGTGGCAGCTGTTTCAGGGGGGGCAAAACACATGCCTTGCTCCCCCGCCCCTCTGAGAACTCGGGGGAGGGGCAAGCGGCCCCCTTTAGCCCCCCCGGTTGGGACGCCCATGGGTTTGTCTGCTTTGAATTTCGATGATGCTTGCCCCGCCCATTCTTGCTGATGTTGGTTCGTGTATTTGAAAGTACTTATTATTTATTGAAGGTATTATTATTATTTATCAAAATAATTTATTATTATTGAAAGTACTTATTAATTATTGTGGTTCATGTATTGCAATCATACCCAATTCCCTACCCGTTTCACAATCAATGTCCACATGCTGACGACAAAATGACACTCGAAGAAAGCGTTTTAACCTCGGACTCACTCAGCAAAGCCATGCAGGAGATTGGGTGTAAGCAGAAGGCACCACCTATGTTCTTGGTGCCTTTTAGTTGCCACCACTACCAGTAAAATCAAATGTAGTGGTGGGGAAATTTCGAACAGGTTTTTCTCAATTTCACTTTTTTGCAGCAACTTTTGTTTTAGGAAATCTATAATTTCAATGAATCGCTGAATGTATTCTTCGCTGTGGATGTTTCTGAACTGAAATTTAATCAGGCATGCGGCTAGATATTGATTTTTCTATTTAAAGGAAGTTCTTATTGCCAAAAGTAGAGTCTTGTCAAGGATAAAATGCCCCATTATGTGGAATGCTCAGTTTTCAAATTGATATTTTGCATAGAAAAAAAACACGGATTTTAAGGTAAAAAATAGATATATGCCGCACCCGCCATTTGGTGTAGTTAAGGCTGAAGCTTGGAAATGCTCAATATTCTGCAGCAATTTTATACGATAGATTTCCTTGCCAAGTGAGGCGACATGCATCAATAACTGTGTACCTCCCCCTGTAGCTTATCGGAAAATTGCTCCTACGGAGATTAAATGTCATACAGTGCATTTAGGCAACGAGATGAACAGACCCTCCAAATTTAATCAATATTGAGCGACTGGTTTAAGAGTTGACACTTGAAGGTGGTGTCAGTTAGTCTATTAGTCTGCGTTAGATTTCCATTGAAAGACACTTTATCCGGTGAGCCGCCGGTAATAATAGCCTTAACTTGCTTTGAGCCTGCATCCAACGGTCTTTAACTTCTATGCAGGCAAACTTCACTAGAATGGGCGGATTGAGAACTCGTTTGCCTGATAATCTGTGAGCAAAGACAGCGTCAGTTGGTTGATGTTCAAACATCCCGAACAGTGCCCGCCAGCCCCGCTACGATGGAGACAGAAGCTTCGCCAGGGGCGACTTTCAGCCCGAGTATTTCCATATTTTGGCGGCGACTATATTGCTCAGCCTCATTCGTCTCCATTCGTAGGCTTAAGATGGTGTCAGCCTGCTCGGAGACCGTGGCCTGAAGAGCTACCTCCGTTCGTAGATCGTTAATATCCACCAATTGGGCAGATACCGAGGCTAAAAGGCGGTCATACCTATTCTCTACCGAGGCGATCGATGCTCGCACCTCCTATATACGTAGACGCCTTCATTTGGTCATTAGATGGTTTGAGGAGTAAAAGCTGTTCAACTTGTCTTGTAGCTCGAGTAGTCCATCTACGTTGGTCTTGAGTATAAACAAAGTGTCCAATTTCTGGTTCATTGCCGCGATTTGCTTCGTTAGAGGGTGATGCCCGACGCGCTTTGCGAAATCGCGTCGGGCATCACGCCAGCGGGTCCCTCTAGGTCAGAACGGTTGCTCTTGGAGCGGCAAAACTTGTATCTCCTTTTTTTTCTTCTGTGTTTATGGTATAGTGAAGGTGGAGACGGCAATGCCGGAGCACGTTTTTCCGATGTGGTAATCACGTTCGCACATCGAGCAGGTCATGTGACGACCGTCTGGTGAAATAACCTTTCGGCAAGCATCACAAACGAGGGACATTGTCTTAGTATTAGTTATTGGCACAAAGACAAACGAAAAAAGTGTCACCACTCCTATGCATGCAACACCAGCTAAACAGAGTAGCTACAACAGCTTGGAACAGTCATCGGAATAAGTGAAGATCTAAGTGATGGTCGGTTACCGGCAAGCAGTGGTGGATCCAAGGGGGGGGGGGGGGCGGCGGGGGCGATCGCCCCCCCCCCCCCCCCCCCCCCCGGGGTTCTTCGTCAGCTCGAAGAAAAAACGTAAGCAATCGACGCGAGGGACAAAAGATTAAAACAGCGGTGGGTGGACGCGCCTGCTGAGCGCTTCCAAAGTGGGGTTTATCTCCGTCAAGGTCACGGCACGTCTTACCGACAGGGATAGCGCCAGGAGTTTCGAAGTGGAGAGACAGCGGGGAGGCGCACCAAATATCAGGGTCCTCGACTGCAGGCACACTTCCAAACAAGGCCAGCACGTCGAGCACGGGGGGGAAATACCTTCAACATATCTAGTCCCCTTTCTTTCTCTCTCTCTCTCTGAATCCCTCTCTCTCCTTGGAGGTTGTCTGCGAAAAATGTGTGCCCTGAAAGCTCCCAAACGCAGACGCCAAGCAGCCTTCCTCAAGGGTACGATCCTATACACAGCGGATTATCCTTCCTCTCTAGCGGCCGCCTTTTCATCACTTTTCGTTTGATGGTTTCTTCGTGGTTCTGGGCTTGTCTTTTGGCGTGTCTTTTTTGGCTTGCTTTGAAATGCTGTCGCCCAGGGCTCACTAAAGGTATCTTATTGGCACGGTGTGCTCATTGCCAAGGGAAGTGCGGAGGGGACGTACCAGGAGGAGAGGTTCCAGGGGGGGGGGGGATGCAGCTTGTACAACCAGGTGACCAATTGCTTTTCTTCTCAACTGAGAGAGGAAGCAAATGCTCTGGGTACAATGTAGTCTGGGTCTGAGCTTCTCCTGAAGACGCTCCGGACTTCTCCACGACCTTGGCTTAAACATAAGCCCGCTTTCGTCCTCGCCTCCATCCCTCACTGAGGATCAGCGCCGCAGC